ATTGGCAGTGTGTGTGATCTCATGAGTAGTTGTTGGATTACTGCCAGCAGCAGGAGTGCTGTCCACAGTGGTTGGTATATTGGCAGTATTAGGAGCAGTTGTCGGATCGATGGCAGCAGCATTGTGCTCTGTGGTCAGTTGAATGACAGTAGTAGGAGCAGTTATCGAAATAAAGTTAACTTGAGTTGTCTCAGTAAATGATGGCATTGCAGTACTACGCTGATCTGGGCTGCTTGATAACATGACCGAGGTACTCTCTATTAATTAAAAAAAGGTATAATATACAATAAAGAGATTAAGAGGAGTGTGAAATAAAAGTCACTCCAAACTCTGGGATTCAAACTCTGACATTTCTGCCATAACGTTACAATACTATGGCCCTGACCAACAGGGAAATGAGCTCTTGCATTGGGAAACTGATCTTTCACATTCTTTTGCGCACGTGTAGTAAATGTATATATTCTTGTATTTTTATTTTATTAATTTCTTTTTAACTTTAGGCACAAACAGCTAACTTTACATTTCTGGTAGTACGCACAAGAAGTTTTTTAAATTGGAGTTTTTTGGGGGTTTTATGCCTGAAGATTGTCATTATGTTTATATACTTAAGTATAAAGTTACATTCTAATTTTGCAATGATATACAAATATACCAAATATGATAATAAATAAACTCAGAATTAACTGTCTGAAATAATAGTTAGTACTATGAATTATTGTTTAGAAACGATTATTAAAAAATATAATGTGATTTATATTGTTTAGAAAAGTAAGCCGATTACGTTTTAAATATGGTTATGATAGTAAAGAAGATGTACTGTACTTAAATTTGATTGTTGACTAAAATGATAAACGAAAAAAAAAAATACGCACACGATTACAACACATGGTGTGGAGTTTTTTTCTTATCGTGGCCGAAATTTAACCGTCCCCAAAGCCCTAAAATTGGAAAGCAAGCATCTTTCCTGCCAAGTTATTTGGCTCCATGATACCAGTACTGTTTGATCACAGAATAAAGTGTAAAATCAATTACCAACACTGTCTGTTGCTGGACATCCGTATAGTTCAATCCTCAATCCGGGAAGCGTATTCTGCCAGTGCGTTCCGGTAAATGTCAACTGGTCGCAAATTATTGATTTTGGTAGCAAATTATACAGGACGTGGTTAGGCTGAAAATTACCTGGAAACTACATACGTGACAAATAATCACTGTGTTAAGCACGTGTCCACACAACAAGATGTGACTTATTGACAAACTAGGCGTAGCCTACAGTGTTAAGCACTGTTCACACGACCAATATGTGACATTGACAATAATAATAATAACAATAATAACAATAATAATAATAATAATAATAGTAATAGTAATAATAATAATAGTAATAGTAATAATAATAATAGTAATAATAATAATAGTAATAGTAATAATAATAGTAATAATAATAATAATAGTAATAATAATAATAATAGTAATAATAATAATAATAGTAATAATAATAATAATAGTAGTAATAATAATAATAATAGTAATAGTAATAATAATAATAATAATAATAATAATAATAATAATAATAATAATAATAATAATAATAATAATAATAATAATAATAATAAATGAATATTTATATAGCGCCAATTCAAAATTATATGATCAAAGGTACTGAGGCGTTATTAATATTACCCCTGGATAACATACAATGGCAAGCCAGCACACAAAGTGCAACCTTCTCTGCTCTCTGGGGAGCATACATAGTCGTGCGCTACTTGCTTAGCGCACGAAACTAGTACAATCAATGCTACAACATCCTACCAGGTACCCTGGATAGAGAGAGACAAATGTAGATAAAGCGCCTTGCCCAAGGACACAAAGCGACTGGACACAAAGCGACTGGTCACAAAGCGACTTGCATAGCAAGAGTTTCAATCTCCTGACCTCGAGGTTGGGAGTCCAAGCCATAACCGATGCGCCAACCGCTTCTTCCACAGTGTTAAGCACTATCCACACAACAATATGTGACACTCACGACAAACGAGAATGTTAAGCACTGTTTACACTATCAATACGTGACATCGACAAACTACAATGTAAAGCACTGTTCGCAACTTCGCACTAACAAGATGTGATATTCACAAATGTAAAGCACTGTCCGTCCGCACTATCAAAATGTGACATTGGCAAACCACAGTGCAAAGCAATGGCCACACTAGCAAGCTGTGACATCGACAAACTATATTTGGTCATAGGGGTGTCAATTTTTTACAAAAAAAAACTTGGAAGACATTATAGTGTGGACATTACAGACTGCTATTGGTCGCTGCTTTCTTCCTCCGCAGTAATGAATTTGACTCTATAAACCATATACCATCATTATGCTGGTCGTCTAAAATTAAATAATAAATGCATTTTCTGTTTTAATACACCACCTTCTAAATATACCACCTACTTGTAATAACAATTGAGAAGATGAAAGCATTCTCAAGCGAGCATCACTGGTCTATGTTGTAAAGCGTTCGTTTAATATGGGTGAAACAATGCTCCGAAGATGACTGAGTTTCGTCTTTTTCATTTAATTTCAAAATTTTTGAATAAAAATATAGCATAGGCCTAGGCCCTCTCCGGACGATAGGAGACCATCCAAAATAACCAGTTTCAAAGCCAATGGACCAACAGTGTAACAGAAAATAATGTCTGGAACTGAAAAATCTATAGGCCTATAACTCTGGAACTGAAAAATATACGTAAAATAAATATAGTTCAATTGAACTGAACATTAAAGACCTTTCCAAAATGAATTATGCTATTATAATACGTAGTAGGTAAAGGTAATTGGTAAGCCTGTAAAGGTGGCTGAACCTCTACAGACCGGAGTGGCCATCTCTCTTCAGCGTTTGGTCGAAACTCTGCAAACCTTTGAGAGGCGGAATCGCCACACTTCTTCACAGCGAGTCTGTTTATCTCCCCATAGGGACAAATATAGATAAAGTTTTTATTGCACAGACTCGAACCCACAAGGATGAGATCCGTGCCACAACTGTTGCTCCACTTATTATATTATGTAAGAGCTGTAAAACTCTCTAAAGTGCATTACTGCACTCTACGGTTACGAAAAGTGGTAGGTACATGTACTTACATACATGGTACTGCCGTTGTTGTCTAGATATAGAAAAGTTTCGCCATGATACTGATATTTAAGGAAGTATCTGATAAACCTTCTGTCATCGCCATTTTCTGATTGTCCTCCATGTAAAGCTATCTATTAATGAATATAATGCACATTACTATTATTAGGTCTATTATTGTTATTATTATTATTATTATTATTATTATTATTATTATTATTATTATTATTATTATTATTGTTGTTGTTGTTGTTATCGAAATAACAACCACCCCATCATCATCATCATCATCATCATCACCATCATCATCATCATCATCATCATCATCATCATCATCATCATCATCATCATCATCATCATCATCATCAACAACAACATTATCATCATTATTATGAACATTATTATTATTTTTATATTTGTATAAGGGCCAGAGGTCTATACGTGAACAAATTCTCCGTATAGGAGAGAGAATTATTATCATAATATCATTATTATTTTAGGCCATTATAATAATTATTATTCTTATATATAAATCATATATATATATACGAGAAAGTTATATAATTATTTGAATTGAATTTAAAATGAAGCATGATTAAACTCAACAAAAACATGCATACGTACAGCAGTAACTTCTGAAAGACTAGGCAGAGTCATCACTATCCAAACATCTTCATCAAATAAATATGGATTCGGTACCCAAACTATTGGCTCTGTCAGGTTACTATTTAAACGTGTCAAATCAGCGTTTTGGATTGGCCCAGTAATCTTGTCAATTCTACCATCCTCCATACCAAGTGATGCAAAACATATATCTGTTTTTGATTTATTTTGAATATGCAATCAAATTACAGAAAAAATAGAATCTTTTCATATACAACAACACATTTTTATTTATATACGTCCATCCAACATTCACTAGTGCATCACAAGTAAAAAAATATGAACATCAAACTTGTCTAATAATAATGACCAAATGTAGGGAAAACATGTGGTAATAACTTCATGTAATAACTTCATGAAAAGATTAAGCCTATAAGTAATATGTCATTTATACAAAAAAAAACACTAAAATAGAAAATACATATGATTCTCTTT